GATACTGTTGAATCTATTCCTCGAATTGTACTATGCGATTTTTCTCGTTTCAAGCCTAGTAGCTGTGCTGCTGAAGTAGTTATAAACGATGCCTGTGATCCTTGATCTACCAGAGCTCGTAATGTATGTTTTCTTCCATCTCTCGCTTGTATTCGAACCATCGCTGTTGCTAATAAGACTTGATTTGTCATAGTTTCAGCCTTATGTACTGCCAAGTGGGCATCCTTATTTGCATCTCGGGAACTGGAATCCTCATCGATTTGTGTTTTGTTCGAATGTGCAATTTGTGTTGCTATGGGATTCGATGTGTGAAGAAGAGAATGGTGACGATGTTTGCAAATGCGGCATGAACTACTTTGTTTGCAAAATCTCACACTTGTCTCAAGACAATTGAAGCACAATTGCTTCTCCTTTGCTAATTCTCTCCTTTGATCTGGATTCAATCGTCCAAACTCCTTACAGTTATACAAATAATGATCTTTCGAGCAATACGTGCAAAGAGGTTCTGAAGTAGCTTTGAAAGCCTTTATCTGTTGTCGAGGTTTAGAAGTGCTTTCCTTTGGAGTTGACATATTTAACGCTTCTAATGATCGAAAACGCATGTCCATAAATTCATTAAGTTCTTGAACTGTTGGTATATCGCGTTTTCCTCCTAATCTTTGTTCCCATAGTCGATGACTATCGCTATCAAATTTTGAGACAATAAGATATGTTATAATCGGATCCCAATTCGTTGATGATACGCCCATATTGTTAAGTGCATTCAAACATTCATTTGTAGTGTCAAGTAATTCACTTATACCTTTGGCAGACTCAGACGTAAGTCTTTTTTGATTTAGTAAACGTGTAATGTGCACAATGTTAATAGTTCCCACTTTAGTATAACAGTTTCAATAAAGTCTAATGCACTTACGACCTCAGCTCAGTACACTAACTCCAACGTCACAACTTCACTTATAATTCGCTCAATCCGGCTCGGTAACGGCCCAAAATGTTTAATGAAACACTTGTTACACTCACACTACACTGTTTTATTACACTGGTTCACAACTTATAACTGCTTGTTAAAACGTACTGCCGTCACAACCCATACCGGCCGATACGTAATTATTACAAGAAACACTCGTTAGCGCGAGACAAACATAAACCTAGCGCCCCCTCTTACTCAGTACATAAAACATACATATGATGACATGCATTAATTAATAAACAATTGAACAAGACTATTTAGACTTACAAGTCTACCTTTATAAAATGAGCGTGAAATGAGAAGAAGGTTCGAATCCCGCACTGCCGAAAGTTATTCTTAATTTATCTGCAAAAAATATATAACTTAAATGCTGTTAGTAAGAAATAAGAGTCAATATCACGCTCACATTAACTGTTTCGGGCCTCACTTGATATAATGATATTCACATTATAATCGATTTATCAACAAAGACCCGGAACTAGGCATTCGTTGTCCGCACAATTGTCCACGTTACAATGACCAAATCCGACACTGTAATAATACGAAGTGATGTTAACGTGTTAGACGTCCATTTTCCCGTGTCAAAACAACGTCAAATTACACGTTCAACATAATGAAAATAGATTGAGTATTGAATAGAAAATCGGGTTCAATTTAAAAATAGAACACAATTTTCGGGCGTGGACACTTTTTTTTTAATGGAGCCGAAACTATGGGCATTTTAAATTATTGTTTTAGTCTTTAGACAGCTAATTAATATTCTAATTATTATATTAATTAGACTCCATTCAGCTAAGCATATGTTCATGGAGCAATTTATCTACTTATATTGCTATTAAATCTTAAAAGCTACAATAAATGGTTGACAAGTCTGTCGTGGTCAAAAGACAGACGGTATCCTTTAAAATTAAAATCGCTGCTTGATTATCAAAACGTTCATTAAAATTATAAAACGGCTATAAGAAATGAAATTGTTTTAATTCCATTTATGTGGACGTATCCATTCTTCGAACGGTGTAGTATAAAGCATTCCGCGTTAGAAAATGATGGCAAATAGAAAATTTTATAAATTCTAAGTTCATTCCAATGCAACTAGCACCATCACATTGAGCATCCCTCTATTACCGTAACAAACCGTTATTATAAATTAATAACAGCATATGTTATTAATAGTTATTCATAACAATTAATAACATATACATAAATTTAGTTAAATATTCAGTAGACTTATACAGTAAGGTGTAATTAGCCTTAAAATGAGATGTGTTTGTATCATATACATAATCTGTTGGTAAATCATAGATATATAAAGAATATTAGTGTTGAAATAGTGTCCTTTTTTGTCCGTAGTCCGTCCCTTCACACGTTTACTTTCTAATAACAGAGCTCTACGCTAAAGGACTACAGATCGGGGCGTAGCAAACGCAGATAATAAAATTTCCCGCAGCATTTCTACGACGAAAGGAATACTTACCTATATGCGCAAAATGTATGCCATGTGTGGAAATCGACGTATTTTAATAAATATATCTGGAATGTGTAGTATAACATAAAAAATTAAGTTTCAAAAACCCTCGTTTTTTGGGTCACAGAAAAGGGAATTAGTTTAGAAAAAAGGCCCCTTGCGTTATACCAAAATACAGACATGACATTTTGGCATTATTTTCAAGAATTAATTATGTATTAAGCACCACATCAACTTATAAATAAAAATAGAAGAAGTCATACTTCTTTCGCGTAATAAGGTAACAAATGTTTTCAAAAAATTTATCTTTCGCCTTATTCTACGTTTGTAAAAAAAACGAAACTAACAATAGAAAAAAGGTATATAAAATATTGAAAGTTTTATTGTAACGCATTATCTAGGTAAATAAAGTTTATTTAAATATCACATAAAATTATTTTTACATAATTAAAGAAATGGACATTTTGGAAGGTCTCTATGACAGCTGTCATTAAGTCGAAGTTTGAGTGGCTAACTTCCGGGTGTCGCTTTTTTGTGATGGTGTGAGCGCACATCGTAAAAATTTACTCTCATCATTTTTCCCTACCGCGCCAAAAGAAGTATCACAAAGCGAAAAAAAAGAAGTATAAGAAAAGCGCCTGTCAATTTAGCAAAGCAATGTTTCTTGCTTAAATATTAGCTTCTAGAACTTTTTAATAGGAGTTAAATTTAATTATTTTTATAACTAATTGTGTATTAACTATCGACCACATTTTTACTAACTTTCAATATTCTTAATATGTAAAAATTGGTTTACAAAAATACATACTTATTAAGGACCTAATGTTATCTACAACCGTATCGACCTACATTTTTATATTGCTCAGTGACGTCTGAAATCTGATTTTGACGTCACGGCAACTGCGTTATACTTTTATAAAACGCATGTTAGGCTATAAATCAAAATGGCGGCTTAAAAATGGACCGGGTTCAAAGGACGGACGCACTCGAACCAAAAGCCATTGTGGATTTATCGCTGAAGAGTTGGTACTTGAAATCGATGCGTATGTATAGAAAATATTCGATGTTTCTCGTGGTACTGTATCGGATATTGAATAAAGTACCTCCGAACACGCGTTGTGTGTAGGTCAATGAACTTTCTTTCCAAATTGGACGATTAATCCATTTTTGACCAAAACGAAATGTGCAGTGAAGAATTAACGGGTTTAATGATACATTATAATTTGTAT